CCCGACAGTCCCCTCCACGTCACCCAGCCTACTACCAGCATCTAGATGACACCAGCAACCCCCTCCCACCTCCGACAAGCCCAGCCAACAAGGGAAGGCACCGAACAGCGAGGAATGAGCCCGAACAACGACCGAACAACGAGCATAATTCTACATTTTTGTGCCGACTTCGCACACGTTTTCCATCCACCTCCGGTCTCCGTTTTCGCCACTGTCTTCGCCGGTGTGTAGCCCTTTATATTATATGTTTTTTTATTAAAAATATATATCATTACTTATATATTTTCAATTGTCTGAATCATGTTATTAGATTTCACATATACATCACATAACGTATCTGATATTTAGATTATTTTATTATGTTGAATATATTTTTTGCATATCTAAATTGTGTATGTATACGTTTTTTCTATCGTACCATATATTATTTACTTATGTTTTAGATTATTATATGTTGTTTGTATTTTTAGTGATATACATTAATAAGTTCATGATTTTAATATTCTACATATGCATTGCATTCTTATTCTTTATTTTTCAACTCATAACATTTTTAGTACATAGTTATCTTATCATTCAGTTTTGTCTTGTTAGGTTGTTTTAGTATGTTCATATTGGTTCCGTTATTTCCAAGAGCAATGTATTTCTATTTTGATGTTCAAGCAATTATTCATATTGTTAAGTTTAATGTTTGAGTTACTAATTATATAGGATTTTGATACATTATATCGTATCATTAGTTATTATTCTTTTTTATAAAAAGATAATTTCAAATAATATTTATGTTTCAGTGTATTCAACGATTTTTGTATTTGTTAATTTATTTTTTGAGCTTTTTGCTGTCAATTTGTTCGTTACTTATTTGAATGCATTGATTTTTAAGATTGATGATTCTATATCAACTTATTACTATAATTAGTAGTATGTATTTTATGCTGATTGTATTTATGTGATTTTGACTGCTATGTAATATATTGCTATATCTAAATTGATTTTATACAGTGATAATTATTATTGTTGTATCTTGTTTATATTTATTATTTTACCTTATGAATATTACTAATATTTCTGATTTATCATATTGTTTGTCAAATATATATAATTATGTTTTGTATAATATGTTTATTTTGAATCACTTGTTTGCTCTTATATTCATTTTATCATATAATATTTTATGACTATTTTCATCATAATTTATCTTGTTAGCATGGTTAGTACTATGAGTATTCAGACTTTTGTATGTTTATTATTATGTATGTGTTTTTATTTTTCATGGCTATTATATATGATGATTTTATTTTCTATATCATGTTTAATATTGATTTGATATTGTGTTTTGTATGATAATTATTTACTGCCATACGCTCTTAAAAATTGTTAATCATAACTACAACTATTTTTATTGAAATTATCATTATGTTCTACCTTTACTGTTTGCTATTTTTTGATTATTATATCTATGTTTTCTTACGTACGTTGATGTTTTGATTGCTTTAAATATATGTTGTCATAATACTATCTTTGAACCTTTTTAACGTAATTGCAACTTTTTATTTTTCGAAATTTATGTCTTATATGTCTTATTTGGTTGAATGTGATTTGTTGAACGCATTCATGTGTTAGTTTGTAATTATACTTTTGTATATCTTAAATGTCTATTCTACTAACTAATTGTATGATATTTCTATTGTGATTTAATTTTTTTTAATGTCTCTTTATGTTGTCTATTATGTTGTCTAAACTATACGTCTGTTTGATTCTTTGCTATTTTGTTTTGCTTATATACTCTTCAAATATTTTTTTCCTTTTTCTTGTATATAATTTATCTATTAATTGTATTGTGTTTTATATTTTTTGTTTATCATGTTTACCATCTGCTTACGTATGAATGATTTATATTTTGTTGAGATCTTTTTATCTTTTATCTTCTTTATGTTCTTCTTTTAATTATTTATATTATTGAGTTGATATACTTTATCATATGTTCTAGTGATTGATTGACAATTGTTTGAATTACGTATTTATATTTCATATTATATTTTTATATGTTATATATTTGTTCATTTTGCCAATTCTGTGTTATTGATTATATATTCACACTACGATGTGTTTTCTTATGATACTATATCAATAATATCATGTTGATATTATATTTTTCTATAATTGTATATTCGTTATTGACTTCTTTTTTATTAAACTATGTTGACTGATACTAATATTTTTGCATATGCCTATATATTGTGTTATTTTATAATTTGATACGTATCAACTATTTTATTTACTATATACATGCTTCTTTATACCTATGTAATCTTTTTTTTTAATATATGTTCACTCTCTTTATGTTATACTTGCATCATTCTTATTATTTATACTACATACCAGACTTTCTTTTGACCAGGGTCGGCCTTGATATTCTTAATTTTTCACGGGGCCCTAATCAAGCTTTCAAATGAGGGGCCTCTATATACAATATTTCATACACAATTTTTTTTATAAAATAGCAAAATATTTTTTATTAAAATGAGACAATAAGCACATAATCGTATTAATATTAAAATCAAAAAACTTCTTGATGCTTTATAAATAACACAATTCATACTACATTAAATAGGATCGCCTTGCATTTTGAGTTGTAAAATTATCAATTAAAATGTTCCAATCAAGCTTCTCCAATAATTTTTTTTGATAGATATCATAGCCAATCCATTCAATCTCGCTTGTGACATTGTTGACCGTAGATAAGATTTAATGAGCTTCAACTTTGAAAAGCTTCTCTCGGCCGATGCAACTGTAACTGGTATTATCAATAATACTCTATAAGCAATCCAGGCATTTGGAAAAAAACAATTTAGCCTTTCCATAAAATTCAATACTTCAATTGCTTTTTTTGTCCCTCTTGATAATGCTTCTCTTAAGATTTGGAGTTCTAAAAACAATTCTGTCCCATTAATATCAACATTTTTATCATGCTTTAGGAGATCTTCAAGGTTAAGACATGAACACTTCAAACTATCATTATCTACAGACTTCAACCTCTCCAAATTAAACAAGAAACCAAAAGATTCATCATACTGTTGAAACTGTTCAAATCTACTCTTGAGTGAAGAAAGAGCTTGATCAACGATATATATGAAGTAATTGACTCTAAAGGATTCTTCAGCTGTCATTGACATCTCTTTATTAGCATTTTCATCAAAATGTTTCTTTCTATGAATGATGCGACGTTCACGAAAAATAGGTTCAACTTTCATTCTAACTGCAATTTCTTGAGCCTCAACCATAGCTGCTTCAAATCTATTTTCTCTGTAGCTTTCAAAAAAGAAATGAGCCATCTTAAAAGGTCTATAGCAACATCAATCTGCATATCCTCTGATTGCATGATTTTACTTATTTTGTTAATAGCATTCAAAATATCAAACCAAATACCCATACCAAGTAAGAACTCAAAATTCTGAATTTCATATGTTGCTAAGCACTCAACATCACTTTTTGTCTTGGGATATTCACTAGAACTAAATCAAAGCATCTCTTATATTTGGAGCTTAGAATCTTATTGCTTTAACACTTTCAACTTGACCTTCCCAATGACTTTGTGATGGTGGCTTAAGTGTGAAACCTTTAACATTATTTGTAAGAACTTTCCACCGCTTTGTAGAAGATGCAAACAATGAATATATGCGTTGCACCACTCCGAAAAAAGATGAAGCTTGCGAACAAGAGTTTACCATATCACAAAGTGTAAGGTTAAGACTATGACAACCACAAGGTGTGTAGAATGCTCTAGGATTTATCTCTAATAATCTTCTTTGTACACCTTTATGTTTTCCTTTCATATTAGAACTATTATCATACCCTTGTCCTCTTACATCACCAATATCAAGTTTAAGCTCTTGCAAAATATTTACAAGTTCTTCAAAAAGTCCTCATCCTGATGTATCATCCACCTTTAAAAATCCTAAAAAGAACTCCTCCATCTTTATTAGGCTTGTTGAAATATTCACGCATCTTAATATAAGTGACATTTGCTCTTCATGGCTTGCTTCCGGAGTACAATCAAGAATAACAGAAAAATACTTTGCTTATTTAATCTTTTGGATGATTAAACTTTTGATCTCATCTGCTATTCGAAGAATAAATTCATTTTGAATTTTGTGACTAAGATAATGATAATGAATTTCTTTCTCCTGAATTCGACGAACATGCTCTTTCATTATTGGATCAAATTCGGCAATCATTTCTATTATACTTAAAAAATTTCCATTATTTTCTCCATAAAGCTTCTCATTATCTCCACGAAATGCCAAACTATTTTTAGCAAGTGTTTTCACAACAACAACTACTCTCAATAGTACTTTTCTCCAATGTTCTCGTTCTTTGTTGATTTGTTCTTCAACACTTTTATTGATTGTCGCATTTTGCCGTAATCTGATCTCTAATTCAATCCAACTTTTCATGTAAACAATATGTTCACTACTTGTTTCATGACTTTTAAGTCTAGCACTGAGATTTCTCCAGTCTCTAACTCCATCATTTGCCAATTGAATTTTGTTTGCATCATATTTGAACAACTTACAACAAAAAAAAAAACATTGTCCAAAGAATTTGAATAGATTAGCCATTTTCTATCATGATGTTCACCATTGGATAAGTTACGAATGTAATGTGTTGAGGAGAAATGTCTTCCTTCTGAATCTTTCGGAAAATCAAGATTATCATTTCTTTTGGGACCTCTTTCAACTAGTAAGTCTCTCAATCTTTGACCAATATTTTTCTAATTTCCTGGGTCATTTATGTTTGAAGGCCTTCTTTCAAGGTTTTCTTCTTGTACCAAATCTTCATGTTCATTTACATTTCCTTCATGTTCATTTACATTACTAGGTTCTTCACATTCTTCAATGGAATTTCTATTCTCATTCAAATTTTCATTAACCAAATCCTCACTTTCTTGATTTTCAGGTTGCTCATTTTCAACATTCACCGAATCTTGAACTAAATTAGAATATGTATTTCTACTACTAGTAATAAAATTTTCAAATACTCCCACTTGAGATCGATTGAATTCTTTAATTTTTTTTGTTTCTTTATCCGCTTACCATGTCCAGACATATACTTTCGAGGAGCCATGATATCCAAATTTAATTCTGAATTTGCTACAATCTAATAAATATCGAGAAAAATAAACTAATCAAGAATTCCTACCAAAAAGCATGTTAGGGACTAAAATATATCAAATATTTAAATTGAAATTTGAAATTAAATACTAAAATCTGTATAAGTAAAGATCTTACAATTTCTTCCAAGTTTGAACTTTGAAGATGCTTTCTTTCTTGACAATCCGCCAAATCCCGTTTGATTATGCCCTAATTCACAAAACCCAAATTAATTTCGATTTCAATTTCACAAAGCCCTAATTCCTAAACCCTAATTCCACAAAGCCCTAATTCCTAAACCCTAGTGAGAACTGAGAAATTACAGAGAAAGTGAGAAACCCTAACCTTGGTCAATAGCGGTGGCCGGCGGGCGAGAGGGAGGAGGACAAGCCGGCGGGCGATTGGAAGAAGAGAGGTCAGAGAGAGAGAGACCTAGGGTTTTCTCTCTCATTTTTTTGTGAGAGCAGTCAGCAGTAACTAAGATAGGGACAGGAGGAGCCATCATGCTATTAGAACCCTCTAACAATTTTACACAAAAGTCCTCTTACTTTTCTATATATATATATATATCTATCTAAAATATATCAAATATTACATTGGGGACCCTTGTTTTTTAGGGGCCCTAGGCGAAGGCCTATCCCGCCTATGCCCAGGGCCGACCCTTCTTCTGACCTTACGTTATATACATTCCCTTGATGATTTGCGTGATTTTTATACTTCTACTTTATCATTATTCCTACTTATTTTATATTCTCTGACTATATATTATTAATCTATACTATATACCTTTTACTATTAACTGGTATCATCATATTCTGCTTGTTTGACTTTGTATTTGACTTGCCCATATAACTTATATTTAATATTGATGCCTAATACATTCTCATAACATGTTTCATGCCTTCAATATACAATATGTGAATTTACATTCATATTTTTCTCATCTTCTTTATTTACAGAATATTATATCTAATTGATGCTTTGTATAGAATGTTTTTATTACTTTTCTATATGTGTGCTATAAATATTTTATATTTACTTTATATGATTAAATATCATTTTGTGTCTATGGTGGTAACTTAGTGTTTTATTATAGTGAATTGTATATTTATATTCATATAGCTCTAGTGTTTTTATTATAACAAAATGTATATTTATATTATGATAACTTAGTGTTTGTGTGTCTGTATTTTGACTTGTGTTATTCTCATGCTCTGCTTATGGATATGCAATTTATTTTGAATTCTTCTCTATATGTGTTGAGTTGAGTCTCTCGTTCCATATCTCTGTCATTGGGTTCTTTCTTATCTTAATTCTGAGGACGGAATTTGTTTCAAGGAGGGTAGAATATAATAACCATAAATTTTTAATACTGGTTAAAATAATTTTTCTAGTATTTTAAAATATTTAATTATTATTTTTAAAAGAGTATTTGTATTTTCTCGATTTTCTAGAATTTTTTACGACTTAAAAATCTAATTTTATATTTATTTAATAATTTTAATAATTATAAATTAACTTGATGCAGTGAAAACTTTTGAATTAAAATTTGTTATGTTATTGTTATTGTTATTATTATTATTATAATTAATATTGATTTTTCCTAATTATTCTAAAAATTTCTTAATTTTTTTTCTTAATTATGTTTAATATTTAACTTTAAACCCTAACCCTAACCCTAACCTAATCTACATATAAATCCTTTCTTTTTCTTTTCTTTTTTCACATGAGCACACCGCAGCCATCTTCATCTTCTTCTTCTCTCTCGTCTCTTTCTTCTCTCTCCTCTCTCTCTTTCCCCTCCCGTGACCTTCTCACCTCCGCCTCCTCCCTTCCTCCGTTCTGGCGCTCACCACCTCGCCCAGCCTCTCTTCTCTCTCTCTTCTCCTCTCTTCCCCGACAACCCAGCAGCCCTCAACCTCTACTTCATCTCCCATCCTCCTTCGCCGCTCAGTCTCTTCACCGCTCGCCACAATCTCTGACCGCCAAACCCACCCTCTCTCTTCTCAGAGTCCTCCACGTCGAGCTCCGACCGCCTTGCCTCCTTGTTCGCGCCCTCAGCCCACTTCATCCATCTCCTCCCGCAACTCCTCCGTCACCCGCTCAACTCTCTTCCAGTGCTTCTCCCCACGTCCGACAGCCCTCTCTTGTGCTCTCTTTTTAGCCTGCACCGTAGCCCCGACAATCCCCTCCACGTCACCCAGCCTGATACCAGCACCCTGATGACACCAGCAACCCCCTCCCACCTTCAGCAAGCCCAGACAGCAAGGGAAGGCACCGAACAGTGAGGAACGATCCCGAACAACGACCGAACAGCAAGCAAATTTCTACATTTTTATGCCGACTTCGCACGCGTTTTTCGTCCACCTCCTGTCTCCGTTTTCATCACCATCTTCGCCAGTGTGTAGCCCTTTATATTGTCCATCACACAGTATCTCCCTCTCACTTAGGCTCATTTTCTATCTCTCATTATATTGCTTCGAATATCGCTAATCGCTACTAACGCCTCCCTTTTTGTACTCTAACTGATTGACTTTCCGACAAGCCGCGGAACCCGTTGTGACCCGTACAGTCACCTCGACGACCCTCACTGCCCTCTACGACATCCTCGACAATAACCCGAGGCAAGATCCTGATTCCCGTTTTGTTTCGTTTCAATTCTTATATTTGTCGTACGTGTGAATTTACATTTTTAATTATTTATTAGTATTTTAGATCTGTTAATAATTATCTACGTGGGTTTGATGAATAATATTAAATGGATCGTAATTATGTGATAAATAGTATTTTCAGAATAATTATAGTAAATTAAAAATTTTATTTTGACAACGGGATTATTTTAGAATAATTATAATATCTTTTTTAGAATTTATTTTGTGGAAGGAAATCTTTTCAGAATGATAAATATTTTTTTTAAAGAATTTATTTTGGGAAAATAGACTATTTTGAATTAATGAGAATTTATCTTGTAAAAAGATTATTTTGAATTTATGAATTTATTATTTTAAGAGATTGTTTTTTGAGTAATTATGATGAGAGATAATTTGTAAGGAATTTATTTTGCAAAAGAATTATTTATTTTGAATTAAATTTGTTTATGGCCGTGTGATTGATGGTTGTTGACCGCATATTTTATGTACAAAGCATCTGTCGATTCCATGATTCTTATTTTAATTACGTGATATATCATGTTTTATTATATAGAATTAGCTGCATTTATTGTTCCTTGTTGTGTTTGAGAACCACTAGTAGTTCATGACTTAGTGGCTTTGTGCATCATGAACAAGACTTAGTGACATGTGTGTGTGTGCGTTGACTGAATTTAGGAGGTGGAACAGAGATCTAGTTCAAGTTATGATTGTTGACTTAGAAAAGCGAGAAGAGTTGGGATGGAGAAGTCTTGATTCATGTGATCGGATGTGGCTGTTGATGTATCTTCCAGGCTCGCACTAGTGAATTCGTGTAGTCACTGGGGTTGGTTTGTTGGGCTAAAGTAAATTCGTGTAGTCACTTTAGTTAGTGAATTTGTGTAGTCACCCGAGTTTTGCTTGAGAGTGGACCAGGCCAAAATCGGATTACGTGTAGTCCTCTGACTGATTCGTGTAGCTGTATTAGATGCACGTAGAGGATTCATAAACAGTCATTTATCCAAGAATATGAACGTTGACTCTATGTGAGATATGGACCAGTGAGCTATTATAGGATGGTTAGTTACATGACCTCGTTACTTAGATGATTGTGGATTCTCATGCGATGTGGACTAGTTATTTTTCTTTTCATACATAGATTGGGATTAATATTTAATTATTTACAATTTGAGACATATGGTATATACATGAGGGTTTCTTTGTTTGGATTATTTCGCTCGACGTATTACGTCTCGTGTTGTAGATTTTTAAGTATTAATTCCATGTAGTTGTATGACCTTATTACTCGGATATTTATGGATTCTTCTGATTGTTATACTCTAGTGGTGGATTGTATTTTGATTTGTTAGAGTTTTAATTGCACGTTCTATTTCATTTCTGTTGTTGCATCGGTTTTTGTGTTGGTCATTCGACCATTTCTATTTTCTTTTGTGGGGTCTTGTTGTGTGCCATGTACACTGACATACACCAGTTTTCTCTGGTGTACGTCAGACTTAGAGGAAGGACATGTCTATCTTGGAGATACGCCAGAGCCCGAGTATCCTCAGCAGGAGTACTTTGCAGACAGAGTAGAAGAAGAAGTCGGAGCCTAGTTTTTCTTTTATTAGTTGATGGTCCTAGTTTACTTTTGTAGTTCTTTCTATTTCTGTTGATTGATATATTCTATATCTCTTCAGCATTTAGTTGGATAGTGTTGTAATAAGGGCATGTTTCACCCAAACTTTGTGTCTTAGATATTATCTCATTTGTGATATGACCTTTTTGTTCTGAGTTGTTCATTATATTCTTACTAATTGTGATCAGGGACCTGTGACTTCACATATATTGCTTGACGCTTAGCGTATTAGGTTGAGAAAAAATAATTTTTATATATTCTCCTCAATCTAATACGTCGCGGGCTTATTCACATTTCGATTCCCCGGTATTTTGGGAAGTGGGGCGTGACACTATTGAAACGTGCAAGGACCTACAAGATAGAGTTGTGTGAGCATTGTGTACTTGGAAAGAAGACAAAAGTGATATTTAACACCGCAATTCACAACACCCAAGGTATATTGGATTACGTTCACATAGATATTTGGGGTCCTTCCAAGCACACATCACTTGGTGGGGCCAAATATTTTATCACTTTCATTGATGATTATTTCAGGAGGAATTGGGTATACCCTATGAAGCATAAACATGAGGTCTTAGATATATTTGTGTAGTAGAAGAAGAAAATTGAGCTACAGACAGGTAGAAAGGTGAAGGTACTCCGTTCAGATAATGGTGGTGAGTACAAGAGTGATTCATTTTGCAGTTTTGCCGAGATCACGACATTAGAAGA